TCGTAGTCGTAGTAGTAGTAGTAGTAGTAGTAGTAGTAGTAGTAGTAGTAGTAGTAGTAGTAGTAGTAGTAGTAGTAGTAGTAGTAGTAGTGGTCGTAGTTCTCACATGTCGTATGGTGCTCCTTGGTGTTCCTACGGTTTCCTGCCCTGGAGGGGCCCCGAAGGGGGCCCTGCCGGTCCATCGGGCGGGCTTGGGGGGCGGCGGACCTGAGCCCGAGAGGGCTAAAGTATGTCCGACTGTGTGGGGCTGCGCCCCCTTTTCTCTCCCTCGCTCTCTCTCTCTCTCTCTCTCTCTCTTTCTCCCTCTCTCTCTCTCGAGAGAGAGAGGGGTGTGCCGAAATGAAGTTTCGGTGGAGCTCCCTGTGGGGCCAGAGAGAGGGGTGTGCCGAAATGAAGTTTCGGTGGAGCTCCCTGTGGGGCCAGGGCCACGATCCTCGAGAGTGGTGTTCCGAAATGAAGTTTCGGCGGAGCTCCCTGTGGGGCCAGGGCCACGATCCCCGAGAGGGGCGTGCCGAAATGAAGCTTCCGTGGAGCTCCCTGTGGGGCCAGGGCCACGATCCTAGTAATAGTAGTAGTAGTAGTAGTAGTAGTAGTAGTAGTAGTAGTAGTAGTAGTAGTAGTAGTAGTAGTAGTAGTAGTAGTAGTAGTAATAGTAAAGGGAAGTAGTAGTAGTAGTAGTAGTAGTAGTAGTAGTAGTAGTAGTAGTAGTAGTAGTAGTAGTCGTAGTCGTAGTAGTAGTAGTAGTAGTGTCGTTCGTTAGTATAGTAGTATAGTAGTTTAGTAGTTTAGTAGTAGTAGTAGTAGTAGTAGTAGTAGTAGTAGTAGTAGTAGTAGTAGTAGTAGTAGTAGTAGTTAGTAGTAGTAGTAGTAGTAGTAGTAGTAGTAGTAGTAGTAGTAGTAGTAGTAGTCATAGTAATAATAGTAGTAGTAAGTAGTAGTAGTCGTAGTCGTAGCCGTAGTAGTAGTAGTAGTAGTAGTAGTAGTCGTAGTCGTAGTCGTAGTCGTAGTAGTAGTAGTAGTAAAAGTAGTAGTAGTAGTCGTAGTCGTAGTCGTAGTCGTAGTCGTAGCCGTAGTAGTAGTAGTAGTAGTAGTAGTAGTAGTAGTAGTAATAGTAGTCAGTGCCCCAGAACATGCACCAGAAAGCCCAGAACCTCTGCTGCTCCCTCCGAGGTCCCCCCCGCGAACAATGCTGGCCATGAGCCGTCATCTCCTTGCACTGTCACGGTCTCGACCACTTCGGGCAGCATGGGCTCCACGCAGCACTGGAAAGCGTACAAGTTGCGATGCATGGCCCTGAACTCGTAATTGCCATCAGCGTCCACCTCGTCGGACCTGCAACGCGCCTCGAACGCCTGTCGGGTGAGCACGACATCAGGGCCGGTGCGTGCCAGGAGATGCTGGAGGGCATGGAGGCCGCAGGTGGAAGCGCGCTGCCTGCCGTGCCCCGCTGCAATTGCCCCGGTCCGCACATCGTTGAACCACGGAGGCGCCGGCACCTCGCGGCCTACCATTTTGCCCAATAGTTTGCACGGCCACCCCCCGAGTGACCGAGGGCGCGGCGCGGCGCCGATCCTGTTGGCGGTGCCCTAAAGGGGGCCCAAGGAGGGGGGTCGCCCTTTAAGAAGACATGGGAAGGCGGGGGGCCGCGGCGGCGACGGCGACAACGACGACGACGACGACCTTCACGACCTTGACGACGACGGCGACGACGACGACGACGACGACGACGGCGGCGGCGGCGGCGGCGGCGCCACCCTGAAAGGCGACCCCCCATCCTGGCGCCCCTTTGGGGCGCAGCTGATCCTGCCATCGCCATTGCCATCCGGGGGCAGCAGCGCAGGGGCCTCCATCTCCTCCACGGAATCGCCGTCGGACTCCTCCGCGGCAGCGCCAGGGTCTTCCAATATCGGCAGCGTGGGCACTGGCGCCGTCGAGGGGGCCTGTGGCGCCCCCGTCGAAGCGGCCGCTGGCGCCGCCGTCAACCTCGCGGGCCGCTTCAGCACTGGGGGGCCCTCCTCGCCGCTGCAGTCCACCTCGCTCACCGCCTTGGCGGCCAGCGCTGCCGCCTCGTCGACCAGCGGGAGACGCGCCTTGCCTCGTGCTTTGCCTCGGGCCTTGCCCACCTTGTGAGCGAAGCCAGACGTGAGGCCCGGGTCCTGCGCGGCGCGCGCCTGGGCCATGTGGTGCTGCCAATCGCACGCTGCCTGGCAAAACGCCGTCCATCTGTCTTGCCCAGCGACCATCAACTTCCACTGCTCCGTGCGAATATCCGCCACCGCGGGGCACGGTCATGGGCGAGGGTCGACACTCAGGATTGTTCCGAGTTCGGTTTTCGCATGTGTTTCTTGACAATCCGATTGTAAACGGCCGTTCCGACGGGGGCCCCCTCTAGCATTACTCAATATGAAAATACTCTCCCACTTCCCCTGATGGCGTGCGGGCGATCGCCGACACCCCCCCGCGTACTGTTTTTTTTTTTTTTACACACAGGATTGGTCCGAGTTCGGTTTCCGCACGTGTTTCTTGACAATCAGATTGTAAACGGCCGTTCCGACGGCGGCCCCCTCTTCCGCTGGCGGGGCGGGCCGAAGGCCTTTAGCTACCCCATCTTCACAGCTCGCCCCTGCGGAGTATTCACAGACAGCCCGTTGGGCACCCCGTCTTTCATCTTGCCCCACGCAGCATCAATGAGGTGTGTGCTCGCCATTCCAGGGGGAGTCTCGCGAGTCTCCACGTTTGCGAGGATGGCGGGCTCTGGGCGGCTCCACTCTTTCTCGACATGCTTGACGGTGTAGTGCTGCAGAATCCCTTCGTGTTCGATGTCGTAGCACTTCGCCTCGTCCGACATTCCGATGGCTAGGGTGTCCTTGTCAAAGAGGCGGTTGCAGATCTCCACCCACCTGGCCTGCGGTTGCGCCGCAAAGGGGGTGCCAATAGGGGGGTCCTCCTCCTCCTGCGTACTCCTCCTCCTCGTCGTCGTCGCCGCCGTCGTCGTGGGCAGAGTCCCTGACGCCTGCCACCTGTCTGCCCTGAAGCCTTCCACCTGTTAGCTTTGAAGCTTCTCACCTGTTAGCCCTGGCGCCTGTCACCTGTTAGTCCCGACGCCTGTCACCTATTAGTCCCAGTGCGAGCGTTCACACGCGGGCCCCGCGCCCATTTCGGCGCACCCCTCACAAGTTTCGTGGCCCCTCACAAGTTTCGCGGCCTTTCAACGACAACGACCCAGGAAGTCCCATTCGGCCCCAAGAAGTGCCAGGAGGCCCCCGGAAGCACCAGCAGGCCCCAGGAGGCCCCAGGCAGGTCCAGGAGGCCCCAGGAGGCCCCAGGATGCACCAGGAAACACCAGGAAGCCCCCTGGCGCCCCAGGAAGCCCCAGGAGGCACCAGGAGGCCCTAGGAAGGCCCCCAGGAAGGCCGAGGAGGACCCAGGAGGAAGGCCCAGGAGGCCCCAGGAGGCCCCAGGAACCCCCAGGAAGCCTCAGAAGCCCCAGGAATCCCAGGAGGCCCCAGGAAGCCCCAGGAGGCCCCAGGAGGCCCCAGGAAGCCCCAGGAGGCCCCAGGAAGCCCCAGGAGGCCACAGGAATCCCCCAGGAGGAGGAGGAGGAGGATGAGGAGGAGGAGGAGGAGGAGGAGGAGGAGGAGGAAGACGACGATGGCGATGATCACCTCGTCGTTCCAGGGCCTCATCATCATCCTCCTCCTCCTCCTCCCGCTCCTGCCCCTCCTCATCATCATCAGTATCACCATCATCGTCATCATCATCATCAAATGCAGTATTTACAATTGCTTATGGTTGGGTTCTTCGCCAGGCTAACTTTGGATCGTCGTCGTCGTGCCCCTTTCGGCCTACCCCCCTGTTGGCGTCCCCTTTGCGGCCCTGCTGAGGCCTTCTCGGCAGGGGGGCACCGGTGCACGTCGTGAGACGTGGTGACTCCGTACTCTTCGAACCACATGGACTCTGGATTGCCCCTCTCCATGATGCCGATAAGTACCCAGGTGTGAAACACTCGGCGGCCCTCTTCAACCGTCTCCCACGAGCCGAACGAGGACTCGTCGTACTCCAGAGTGGTGGTGAGCGGCCCCTTCTTCCCGAAGATGATGCGCTCCTGCCTCCGGACAGCGTCCCAGGCGACCACTTCCCTCGCCACCCCGTACCAATCGCGCATCAAGTCCTCCGAGCGGCGCATCTGCAAGGCGGAACACGTCATGCTCACACCCTGCACGTAGTTCCAGAAAGCGCGCGACGCCTGGCTCATGAGGTCTCCGTGGGCGAACAGCGCGCGTCCGCCGAACACTGTGTAGGAGTGTCTGCAGTGCTCGCAGCGATAGATCGCGTCCCAGCGACCAACGTCTTCCACCTTCCCTGCCACCTGCTTGCGCACGCGCCACGGCCCGAGAATGCTCGGCTTGCCGATGCTGAAACGGCTGGGTTTCTCCTTGCATGTAGGGTCGGGGCACGGCTCGCCGCGCATGTCGTGCAGGAGGCTGCTGTCGAAGGCGAAGCGTACCCATCCACGAACAGTCATGCGCGCCAGCTCGTCGTAAGACACGGATCTGCGCGCCAGTGGCACCCTGCAACGCTTGGTCGGTTTGCCCTCGTAAAGCGGGGTCCTGTTCTGCAGCCACGTGTACTTCAAGTGAGCAACCGTGCGCCACAGACGTCTCTGCAGAGGGTCCACGCCGCCATCGGGCCGAACCACGGCTGCGTCTGCAGCCTCCTTTTGAAGGAGGGGGCAGGTCTTTATCTTGTGCCCAAACTTACCGCAGTGTCTGCAATGGGAGATAAGCGTCTTCGCCTGTGCCCTGTGCTCCCTCGCGCGCTTCCGCTTAGGAGCCGCCGTCGCATCAAAAGAAGACACCACGGCGCCATCGGCCCCCACCTCCTGCGAGATGATCGCCATCTGCGTTTCTCGCAACTTCACCAACTCTCTGTGCACCGTCTCCCCGGCAGCGATCCGAATTTCCTGCTCCTGGCTCTGGAGCACGATGGCCTCTTGCATGTCCGTCTTCTTGGCCGGCGCCTTGGCGGCAACCTCCTCCCAGAGGCCCTCGTCCCTGAGCGCCTTTTCAAACATGGGGTACTTGTGATGTAGTTTGGACACGACGGCCCAAGCGAGGTAGTCCATCCCCTGCTTCTTGTCGTCCTCGGACCCGTGCTGCTTGTGGCCAAACCCTGTCGCCACCTCTGCCACCGTCTTTCTCCTGTGCTGCCCGAATTCGATGCGATACGGCTCAGGTTCAGCAGCGCGGCCAACGGCGCCCGCGTCGCGAGCGTGATCCTCGTGCTCTCGGAGGCGCTGTGCAAACGCTCGCGCGGCACCGCCCTGTCCGTCTCCCACAATCTGCGTGTACTCGTCTCTCACCTGCTGCTTTTCGCCGTCCGTGGGTTTTCTCATCGGGTGTTCGGTGCGGGACTTGTGCGCCCACCCTTCCTTCGAGATGCTGCCGCCAGCGCAAACCGTGCAGAATCACACCAGCCCTTTCGGGCGCACGTGGTCCAAGCAGATTCCTCTTCCAACCCCCTTCTTTCCCGTCGGGGGGTCAAGGTCGGTCTGGCGGCCCCAGCGGTTTTTGGCCGCCGCACTTGGACGTCTCTGAAAACCAGCGGGCCCGGAGCTCTGAACGCCAAAAATGCCCAGTGCTTCTGGAGACACGGTCGTCGTCATCCATCATACGCGCGGTTCGGCTGCTATTTCTGCTACTCCACTGGGCGTCGTTTCTGGATGGGCTTGTGGGGATGCGCGAAGCGTCATGAATTTGTAAACCCTGAGACGTCGTTTGAGCTCCTTCTGTTGGTCTTCGGTCATCTCAACAGCGTCGGCGCCAGCCTCGGCGCCAGCGTCAGCGCCAGCCTCGGCGCCAGCCGCCGCCGCCAAAGCGGCCGCCGCCTCAGCACGGCGGCCGCCAGCGTCGGCGCCAGCCTCGGCGCCAGCCGCCGCCGCCAAAGCCGCCGCCGCCGCCGCACGGCGGCCGCCGCCGCTCTCGGCTCCAGCGTCGGCGTCAAGCGCCGCCGGCGCCGCAGCACGGCGTCCGCGATCTCCGCTCCCGCGGCAGCCTCCGCTCCCGCGGCCGCGCGCTTGCCCGCGGCGTCCACCGCGGGCCGCTGGCGCCTGGGGCTGGGGCGCCTGTGGGGCTCGAGGCTGGGACGCCTGGATTGGATCCTGGGTCAGTTCTGGCGGCCTGTCATCCCAGCTCTCTGCCTGGGGGAGGCCCGCGCCGTTCCTCGGCATGCCCCCGACCAGGCCGAGGTTGAGGTGCAATGTCGAGTGGTTCTGAATGTTGGAATCCGACAGCGTGCGCCCAGCTGCAAGCTGCTTGCCGGCGAAGATCAAGCGTTGCGTGGCGGAAGGGATGTCCTCCTTATCCTGGATCATCGCTTTGACGCTATCGATGGTGCCGCTGGCTCGCACGCTCAGGGTGATAGTCTTCCCCGTCACCGTCTTCACGAAAATCTGCATGACCTCACCAGCGGCAGCGTCGAAGTCACCCGTCGCATCGGCGGTGCCAGCGGAGGCGGTGCCAGCGGACTGGTCCAGGGACAGCTCCGCGTCCTCGTGAGGACAACGACGACGACGAGACGGAGGAGGAGGAACAGGAGGAGAAACAGGAGGAGGAGGAAGTAGGAGGAGGTAACGGGAGGAGGCAGGATGAGGAGGAGGAGGAGGAGGACGGATGAGGAGGAGGAGGTAGGAGGAGGTAGGAGGAGGTCGGAGGAAGAGGTAGGAAGAGGTAGGAGGAGGAGGAGGAGGAGGAGGAGGAGGAGGAGGGATGAGGAGGAAGAGGAGGTAGGAGGATGTAGGAGGAGGTCGGAGGAAGAGGTAGGACGAGGTAGGAGGTCGGAGGAAGTCGGAGGAAGAGGCACGAGGATGGAAACAAGAGGGAGGGAGGAGAGCAAGGAACAAGAGGGAGGGAAGACGAGAAGGAAAAGAAGCAGGATGAGGAGGAGGAGACGGACGATGAGGAAAAGGAGGAGGAGGAGGAGCAAGAATGATGATGAGGAGGAGGAGGACGAACATTGGTGGAGGGGAGGAGAGTGAGAAGGAGGAGGGGGAGGAGGAGGAGGAGGAGCCACAAAAACAGATGATGAAAAGGGGAGGGTGAGGGAAGGATTGGGGAGGAAGCGGGGGAAGCGAGAGGAGGTAGGGGGAGGTATGTGAGGAGGAGGTGGGGGGAGGTAGGGGGAGGTAGGGGGAGGAGGATGAGGATGAGGAGGCGGAGGCTGAGGATGTCACAGCCTCAGCCTCAGCCTGCAGCCTAGAGTAAGGAAGCGTTGCAAGGACGCAAGGCCCTTGGGCGGTCCTTGGACGCCCCAGTTCAAACCTTTAAAGCGGCGCGCTGCCATCTCAGCGACTGCCAGACGCTCATCGACGCAAATCGACGCCAAAGACGGAATTGAGAGTGACTACCTACCCGACCACCCCAACCTAACCCGAAGACCCAAGTTTCGGGTTTAGGGGGTTACAGGTTCCACATGTAGTTTTGTCCATATTCCCCGACCCCCCTCCACTGGAACTCGGGGGTAAATTTGGGGGTTGGGTTGGGGTGGCTTGGTTGGTGGTGAGAGAGGGCATACAAGACTCCCATGACTTGTTGCCGAACGCACCTGCTTGAACAGAAATGCCGCCAGCGCACCGCCCACAAACTCGAAAGCGGCGTACACGGGGAAGTAGCTCAGGCTGCCGGGGCTGTGGTTGCCGCCAGCGTAGACGCCGAACGCCACGGCGGGGTTGAAGCAGCCCCCGGAGACAGCGCCCGCCCCGAACGCGCCCGCCACGATCACGAGGCCGATCGAGAGGCCGTAGAACTGAGAGCTCGCGTTCGCCGCGGCGCAGGCAGTATTGAGAACGACAAAGCAGAGCATGAACGTGTACACGAGCTCACACACGCCTGCCTGCCACCACTCGAAGCCATCCGCGGGCCCGAGGGCGAGGGCAAACTCCGAGCTCTTGAAGATCGCGCGGGCGAGGATGCCCGCCAGCGCGCCCGCCAACGTCTGCACCAACGAGTAGAGGAAGACGTCAGCCCAGGGCAACTTGCCGACGAGGCCGAGCGTGACAGACACAGCGGGGTTGAAGTTCGCTCCAGAAACTTTTGCCAGGGCGTAGATGCCGACCATGAGGGGGAAACCGATCGAACTGCCCGCCGCTGCCGTGCCGCTGAGGACGTTGCAGCCGAGGGTAAACATCAGAAGGAAGGTGCCCACGAACTCGCCGACGAGCGCCCTTTTGCGAGCCATTGCGATTCCGATGGACGTGCCAAGTGGGAACTGCTGGAACGGGTTGCAGAGCAACTAATGGTGCTCGAATTGTGCGACATGTTTTCGCAACGACAAAGATCTTGAACCGAAATGGTTACGGAACGGCTCTTTGGTGTTATTGGAACCGTCGGGCGGTTTGCGCATATGCACATTCAATCCAAAGCGAGCGGAACCTTCCGTGATATCCGAAAGACATGTGTTGCAACAATTAATTGGGGGTCCCAACACGGTGCGGTGACAGATCGTGTGTGTGTGTGTGTGTGTGTGTGCGTGTGTGTGTGATTCTCAGCCTGGAGGCGGAATCTCTGGGAATCCTAGGAATCTCTGGGAATCCTAGGAACCTCTGGGAATCCTAGGAATCTCTGGGAATCCTAAGAATCTCTGGGAACCTTAGGAATCTTTGGGAATCCTAAGAATCTCTCGGAATCCTAAGAATCTGTGGGAATCCAAGAAACCTTTAAGAATCCTAAGAAACTCTGGGAGTCCTACGAACCTCCTTGGGAATCCCAGGAATCTGTTGGAATCCTAGGAACCCTTCGGAATCCTAGGAATCCAAGAAACCTCTAGGAATCCTATGAATCTCTGGGAGTCCTAAGAACCTTTGGGAATCCTAAGATTCTCTGGGAATCCTACGACTCTCTCGGAATCCTTGGAATCATTAAGAATCCTAAGAATCTCTGGGAATCCTAAGAATCTCCGGGAATCCTAGGAATCTCTAGGAATCCTAAGGATCTCTAGGAAACCTACGGATCTTTCGGGATCCCAGGAATCTCTGGGAATCCTAAGAATATGTTGGAATCCTAGGAACCCATCCGAATCATAAAAATCGCTGGGAGTGCTAAGAATCTGTTGGAATCCTAAGGATCTCTGGGAATCCTAGGAATCTCTGGGAATCCTACGAGTCTCTGGGGATCCTAAGAATCTATGGGAATCCTAGCAATCTCTAGGCATCCTCTGAATCTCTGGGGATTCTGGGATTCATTCGGAATCCTACGAATCTCTGGTGATCCTGTGAATCTTTTGGAATACTAAGAATCTCTGGGGACCCCAGGAATCTCTGGGAATCCTAGGACACTCTGGGAACCCTAGGAATCCCTAGGAATCCTGCGAATCTCTGGGAATCCCATGAATCTGTTGGAAGCCTTTGAATCTCTTGGAATCCTAAGAATATTAAGAGATTCTAAGAATCTCTGACATTCTTACGAATCTCTAGGCATCCATTGAAATCTTTGGGATTCTTGAAAATCTCTGGTGATCCTACGAACCTCTTGGAATCCTACGAATCTCTGATCCAAGGAATCTCTGGGAATCCTAAGGGTCTCCGGGCATCCTAAGAATCTCTGGGAATCCTCAGAACCTTTGGGGTTCCGAGGAATCTCTGGGAATCCTACGCATCTCTGGAAATCCTAAGAATCTCTGGAATCGTAGGAATCTCTAGGAATCCGAGGAATCTTTGGGAATCAGAAGAACCTCTGCGAATCCTAGGAATCTCTCGGGATCCTAGGAATCTCTGGAAATTTCTAAAAATCTCTGAAATCATAAGAATCTCTAGGAACCCTAGAATCTCTAAGAATCCAAAGCATCTCTGGGAATCCCACGAATCTCTGGGAATCCTAGGAATCTCTCGGAATCCTACAAACCTCTGGGAATCCTAGGGATCTTAAAGAATCCTAGGAATCTATGGGAATCCTAGGAATCTCTGGGAATCCTGAGAATCTCCAAGAATCTTAAGAATCACTGGGAATCATCGGAATCTCTAGGAATCCTAGGAATCTTTGGGAATCCCAGGAATCTTTGGGAATCATAAGAATCTCTAGGAACCCTAGGAATATGTAAGAGTCCAAAAAACTTCTAGGAATCCTAGGAATCTCTGGGAATCGTATGGGTCTCTGGAAATAATAGGAATCTATGGAATCCTAAGACTCTCTCGGGTTCGTAGGAATCTCTAGGAATCCGAAAAATCTATGGGAATCCTAAGAATCTGTCGGAACCCTATGGATCTCTAGGAATGATGCCTTCGGTTGCGCCCCCTGTGGGGCCACGAACCGTGTGAGGGGTGCGCCGAAATAGACCCGAATCCTTCGGTTGCGCCCCCTGTGGGGCCGCGAAAGCCTTCGGCTGCGCCCCCTGTGGGGCCACGAACCGTGCGTGTGAGGGGCGCGCCGAGATGGGCCCCAAGTCTTCGGCTCCGCCCCCTGTGGGGCAGCGAAAGCCTTCGGTTGCGCCCCGTGTGGGGCCACGAACCGTTTGGGGGGTGCGCCGAAATCGGCCCGAAGCCTTCGGTTGCGCGCCCTGTGGGGCCACGAACCGTGTGAGGGGTGCGCCGCAATGGACCCGAGGCCGTCGGCTGCGCCCCATGTGGGGGCGCGAAAGCCTTCGGTTGCGCCCCGTGTGGGGCCACGAACCGTGTGAGGGGTGCGCCGAAATGGACCCGAAGCCTTCGGTTGCGCCCACTGTGGGGACACGAACCGTGTGAGGGGTGCGCCGAAATGGACCCGAGACCTTCGGTTGCGCTCCCTGTGGGGCCGCGAAAGCATTCGGCTGCGCCCCCTGTGGGGCCACGAACCGTGTGAGGGGTGCCCCGAAATAGGCCCGAAGCATGTGGTTGCGCCCCCTGTGTGGCCACGAACCGTGTGAGGGGTGCGCCGAAATGGACCCGAAGCCTTCGGTTGCGCCCACTGTGGGGCCGCGAAAACCTTCGGCTGCGCCCCCTGTGGGGCCACGAACCGTGTGAGGGGTGCGCCGAAATTGGCCCGAAGCTTTCGGCTGCGCCCCCTGTGGGGCTGCGAAAAGCTTCGGCTGCGCCCCTTGTGGGGCCACGAACCGTGTGAGGGGTGCGCCGAAATGGACCCGAGACCTTCGGTTGCGCTCCGTGTAAGGCCACGAACCGTGTGAGGGGTGCGCCGAAATGGGCCCGAGGCCTTCGGTTGCCCCCCCTGTGGGGCAACGAAAGCCTTCGGTGGCGCCCCGTGTGGGGCCACGAACCGTGTGAGGGGTGCGCCGCAATGGACGCGAGGCCTTCGGCTGCGCCCCCTGTGGGGCAGCGAAAGCCTTCGGTTGCGCCCCGTGTGAGGCCACGAACCGCGTGAGGGGTGCGCCGAAATGAGCCCGAAGCCTTCGGTTTCGCCCCCTGTGGGGCAACGAATCGTTTGAGGGGTACGCCGAAATGGACCCGAGACTTTCGGTTGCGCCCCCCTGGGGCCGCGAAAGCCTTCGGTTGCGCCCCCTGGGGGGCCACGAACCGTGTGAGGGGTGCGCCAACATGGACCCGAAGCCTTCGGTTGCGCCCCCTGTGGGGACACGAACCGTGTGAGGGGTGCGCCGAACTGGGCCCGAAGCCTTCGGTTGCGCCCCCTGTGGGGCCGCGAAAGCCTTCGGTTGCGCACCGTGTGGGGCCACGAACCGTGTGAGGGGTGCGCCGAAATGGACAGCGAAAGCCTTCGGTTGCGCCCCCTGTGGGGCCACGAACCGTGTGAGGGGTGCGCCGGAATGGGCCCGAAGCCTTCGGTTGCGCCCCCTGTGGGGCCACGAACCGTGTGAGGGGTGCGCCGAAATGGACCCGAGGCCTTCGGTTGCACCCCCTGTGGGGCCGCGAAAGCCTTCGGTTGCGCCCCGTGTGGGGCCACGAACCGTGTGAGGGGTGCGCCGAAATGGACCCGAAACCTTCGGTTGCGCCCCCTGTGGGGCCACGATGTGTGAGGAGTGCACCGAAATGAACTCGAGACTTTCGGCTGCGCCCCTTGTGGGGCCGCGAAAGCCTTCGGTTGCGCCCTGTAAGCGGCCACGAACCGTGTGAGGGGCGCCGAAATTGGCCCGAAGTCTTCGGCTGCGCCCCCTTGTCGGGCCACGAACCGTGCAAGGGGTGCGCCGAAATGGACCCGATGCCTTCGGTTGCGCTTGCTGTGCGGCCACGAACCGTGTGAGGGGTGCGCCGAAATGGACCCGAGGGTTTCGGTTGCGCCCCCTGTGGGGCCCGAGGCCTTCGGTTCCGCCCCTTGTGGGGCCACGAACCGTTTGAGGGGTGCGCCGAAATGGGCCCGAGGCCTTCGGTTCCGCCCCTTGTGCGGCCACGAGCCGTTTGAGGGGCGCGCAAAAATCGACCCGAAGCCTTCGGTTGCGCCCTTTGTGGGGCGCCGAACCGTGTGAGGGGTGCGCCGAAATGGGTCCGAAGTCTTCGGTTGCGCCCCCTGTAAGGCCACGAACCGTGTGAGGGGCGCGCCGAAATGGACCCGAGACCTTCGGTTGCGCCCCCTGCAAGGCCACGAACCGTGTGAGGGGTGCGCCGAAATGGGCCCGAGGCCTTCGGTTGCGCCCCCTGTGGAGCCACGAACCGTGTGAGGGGTGCACCGAAATGGGCCCGAAGCTTTCGGTTGCGCCCCCTGTGGGGCCGCGAAAGCCTTCGGCTGCGCCCCCTGTGGGGCCACGAACCATGTGAGGGGTGCGCCGAAATGGACCCGAGACCTTCGGTTGCGGGCTTGTGGGGCCACGAACCGTGTGAGGGGTGCGCCGAAATGGACCGCGAAAGCCTTCGGTTGCGCCCCCTGTGGGGCCGCGAAAACCTTCGGCTGCGCCCCCTGTGGGGCCACGAACCGTGTGAGGGGTGCGCCGAAATTGGCCCGAAGCTTTCGGCTGCGCCCCCTGTGGGGCTGCGAAAAGCTTCGGCTGCGCCCCTTGTGGGGCCACGAACCGTGTGAGGGGCGCGCCGAAATGGACCCGAGACCTTCGGTTGCGCTCCGTGTAAGGCCACGAACCGTGTGAAGGGTGCGCCGAAATGGGCCCGAGGCCTTCGGTTGCCCCCCCTGTGGGGCAACGAAAACCTTCGGTTGCGCCCCCTGTGGGGCCACGAACCGTGTGAGGGGTGCGCCGAAATTGGCCCGAAGCTTTCGGCTGCGCCCCCTGTGGGGCCGCGAAAACCTTCGGCTGCGCCCCCTGTGGGGCCACGAACCGTGTGAGGGGTGCGCCGAAATGGACCCGAGACCTTCGCTTGCGCCCCCTGTAAGGCCACGAACCGTGTGAGGGGTGCGCCGAAATGGGCCCCAGGCCTTCGGCTCCGCCCCCTGTGGGGCCACGAACCGTGTGAGGGGTGCGCCGAAATGGGCCCGAAACTTTCGGTTGCCCGTCCGGACCCCCCCCCGGTTGTTGTGAGTGTTGTGGGGGGGGGGGGTGTTGTGTGGACACGGGTCGGGGCGCCCCGCC